ATCTAATACCCTACTTGAATGCCCTACTCTAATGCCCTACGTGAATGCCCTACTCCAATGCCCTACTTGAATGCCCTACTCTAATGCCCTACGTGAATGCCCTACTCCAATGTCCTACGTGAATGCCCTACTCCAATGTCCTACGTGAATGCCCTACTCCAATGTCCTACGTGAATGCCCTACTCCAATGTCCTACGTGAATGCCCTACTCCAATGTCCTACGTGAATGCCCTACTCCAATGTCCTACGTGAATGCCCTACTCCAATGTCCTACGTGAATGCCCTACTCCAATGTCCTACGTGAATGCCCTACTCCAATGCCCTACGTGAATGCCCTACTCCAATGCCCTACGTGAATGCCCTACTCCAATGCCCTACGTGAATGCCCTACTCCAATGTCCTACGTGAATGCCCTACTCCAATGTCCTACGTGAATGCCCTACTCCAATGCCCTACGCGAATGCCCTACTCCAATGTCCCTTGGAAGATCATGGAGAAGCTTGGCTGCCCCAGCAGATGTATTACAATAGTGAAAAAGCAGTAGAAAAATCCCCCTATTTAGGCAGCACCCTCTCCAGGTCAGCACCCTCTCCAGGTCAGCACCCTCTCCAGGTCAGCACCCTCTCCAGGTCAGCACCCTCTCCAGGTCAGCACCCTCTCCAGGTCAGCACCCTCTCCAGGTCAGCAACAAGAGATGATCAGATCACTAACCGAATTTTCAAAGTTAATGTTGCATTTAGAGAACTGCTAGCAGTATATATTTTATAGTGTATGGGAGCAAAAGGGTCTCAGACTTGTCCTTAAGCTGCAGGTATATAGGGCAATCGTCTGAACATCTCTCCTGTATGCCAGCGAGACGTGGACAGTGTCCAGCAGACCTGCTAGACAACTAAACCGTCTTCAGCTACGCTGCCTAAATAAACGTCACTGCATACAATGGCAGGACGGAGTCCCTGGTACAGAGGTCCAACAACGAGCCGATTGTTTTGACATATACAGAAACGACACACCAGATGGGCAGGGCATGTCACGAGAGCAACCAGATGGGCAGGGTATGTCACGAGACCAAACAGATAGGCGGGGCATTTCAGGAGGCAAACCAGATGGGCGGGGCATGTAACGAGAATGCCAGACAGAAGACTTCCCACACGACCTTTTTTCGGTGAATTCTGCCCTGGGAAACGCGTCAGTGACTGTCTAAAAGCTTCACTTAAATCCATGGACATTGACCTTGATTCTTGGGAGACACTAGGGCGTGGACGACGAACTGTCGGAGCACAATCATCAGACCATAAGCTCACCGCTCACCGCTCACCGCTCACGCCCAAAGAAAGCGCACGGCATGGACAAGAAAAATAAACTCAAATCCTACTAGGACCCAATACAACGTGTGTCCCACGTGCTGGACAGCTTTCCTGGCGCAGGTGGGGCCGGCAGGCCAGCCATGTAACACAGCTTTGGTCATCTTGGCAGGCCACCTGTGTACTCACCATGTAATACAATCCTTGGTCATCTTGGCAGGCCACCTGTGTACTCACCATGTAATACGATCATTGGTCATCTTGGCAGGCCACCTGTGTACTCACCATGTAATACGATCCTTGGTCATCTTGGCAGGCCACCTGTGTACTCACCATGTAATACAATCCTTGGTCATCTTGGCAGGCCACCTGTGTACTCACCATGTAATACGATCATTGGTCATCTTGGCAGGCCACCTGTGTACTCACCGTGTAATACAATCCTTGGTCATCTTGGCAGGCCACCTGTGTACTCACCATGTAATACAATCCTTGGTCATCTTGGCAGGCCACCTGTGTACTCACCATTTAATACAATCCTTGGTCATCTTGGCAGGCCACCTGTGTACTCACCATGTAATACAATCCTTGGTCATCTTGGCAGGCCACCTGTGTACTCACCATGTAATACAATCCTTGGTCATCTTGGCGTGCGAAGGAAGAACAATATCAACACTCTAATGTCCTATTCTAAAGTCCGTAATACGTTATTGTTTCTCTTTAATGTCCTACTCTAACGCCCTTAGTACTTTATTGTCCTACTGTAATATCCTACTCAAATTTCCTTAGTATTATAATGTTCTTCTTTAATGTCCTAGTTGAATGTCCCCAGGTGGTTGATCTCCTGAACGATCTCTACACGTGTTTTGATGAGGTCATCGCTCGTAGGGACGTCTATAAGGTCAGACTACCTAACCCTTCCCCACTCCGCATAGAAACCTATTCTCTATGGATTTACTGTCAATTTATTTACCTATTGGCCTTCTGGAATATCTTTCATAAATAACCGGTACATCATTCTTATTTAGTTCACAATTGGAACCTTGTCTTAAACGGTAAGAGAAAATAGATGGATTTACACGTGGATGCTGGTAGACATGCATGGATGTAAAACTATGAACGTAACTGGATATAAAAGTGAAAAAAAAATGGATACAGATTTGAATATTTAAATAACATATATTATATATAACATATGTGATAAAGTTAGTTATATATGTCTATAGATGGTGAACCTAGAGGGTGAATGGGGTACCGTCCCAGTTGGTGAACCTAGAGGTTGAATGGGGTACAGTCCCGGTTGGTGAACCTAGGGGTGAATGGGGTACAGTCCCGGTTGGTGAACCTAGGGGGTGAATGGGGTACAGTCCCGGTTGGTGAACCTAGGGGGTAAATGGGGTACCGTCCCGGTTGGTGAACCTAGGGGTGAATGGGGTACAGTCCCGGTTGGTGAACCTAGGGGTGAATGGGGTACCAACTCGGGTGGTAAACCTAGGGGGTGAATGGGGTACAGTCCCGGTTGGTGAACCTAAGGGGTGAATGGGGTACCATCTCGGGTGGTAAACCTAGGGGGTGAATGGGGTACCAACTCGGGTGGTAAACCTAGGGGGTGAATGGGGTACCAACTCGGGTGGTGAGCCTAGGGGGTGAATGGGGTACCAACTCGGGTGGTGAACCTAGGGGGTGAATGGGGTACCATCTCGGGTGGTAAACCTAGAGGGTAAATGTGGTACCGTCCCGGGTGGTGAACCTAGGAGGTGAATGGGGTACCAACTCGGGTGATAACCCTAGAGGGTGAATGGGGTACCAACTCGGGTGGTGAACCTAGGGGGAGAATGGGGTACCAACCCGGGTGTAACTCTGGGGGGTGGGAAATGTGTTTCTTGTTACATAAACAAAACATTTTTTTGCAAAACAGGGGAAAAATGATTTTGGGGTTAGGACGGAGAGTGGGACATTTGAAAGAATGTTTTCTCATCGACAACGATTCTGTGTGCCAAGTTTCAGCTTGATAGGATGACGGGAAGTGGATCAGTTAGCCTTTAAATAATTTTGCCTCGCAGCAACACACAAACAAAAGGGAAGTTATTAGAAAGGATTTCAATATTATACGATTTTTTTTTTAAGTCCATAACGTTTACCTCCCTTGGGCTACTTTGCTCCAATTTATTAATCACCTGTTTAACTCTGTGCCAAAATTTAAACTGCCATCATGTAGTAGTTACCCATTATCTACTTACAATGTTAAACTGCCATCTTCTTCTATATATTAAGGGCCCACGATCAATTTATTGATCATTTTGGCTCCTATGCATGTAGATGGGATTTGCAATGTTTCTGTTCCTGGTGTTGATGAGGAAATTTCACAGATTTCCAGTGCCACTTTGTGAGGGAATCATGCACTGGGGGTTTGAAGGCTTGAGGCAATAGACACAAATGTGCCATCATGTAGTAGTTACCCATTATCTACTTACAATGTTAAACTACCATCATGTAGTAGTTACCCATTATCTACTTACAATGTTAAACTACCATCATGTAGTAGTTACCCATTATATACTTACAATGTTAAACTGCCATAATGTAGTAGTTACCCATATATACTTACAATGGTAAACTGCCATCATGTAGTAATTACCCATTATCTACTTTCAATGCTACAACTGCCATCATGTAACAGTTACCTATTATCTACTTACGATGTTAAACTACCATAATGTAGTAGTTACCCATATATACTTACAATGTTAAACTGCCATCATGTAATAATAATAATAATAATAATAATAATAAAGTTCATTTCAAAAACACGCTTCATCCCCAAAGGCTCAAAGCGCGGTACAAAGTCAACAAAATACAAATCTATAATTTACCACATTTAAAACATAGGTAATTAGGTTATGTGATACCAAAACCTCAGTATTGCTGTATCCATCTTTAACCATTTCAATTTTTCTTGTTTTACAATACACTTGGTTGACATAAGGGTCTCTAATTATTTACCGCTTTCGAAACAGAAATATTTAATGAAGATGTTATATATAGGCGTTCTATTTTACTCTCATTTAATTTTTTCTTGGTGAACAGCCGTAAGTTAACCCCAACTTGCTTGCGTTAGTATTGGGCGTGGCTTACTCCCTTTGATCTTCTTTACCACAAACCAATCTATCGCCTGTTTCTAGACTCGAATGCGATAGATCATTGTGGAACGCCTGAGTTGCTTTACGATACGTATTCTGATCTCGAACCATCGATGAAACTGACTATAGACTATAAATACAGTGAGTGGCACGCAGCAGAGAGCAGATGCTCAGACAGCGTGAAAGAGTTATTTTGGAACGTCTGAGTCTGGACGTTGTGAAACGTTTCACTATTGAATAATCATTCCTAGACCGGGGGGGGGGGGTGGGGGGGGGGGGGGGTCAAACTTGTTGTCCAAAAAAGGCCCAGTTGTGGTGAATGAAAAATTAAATTCATAAGAATAGATTATGTCAATCATAAAACAATATTATTATAAGAGAATCAAATAAAGAAATAAGCTGTTTAATTTTAGTTTAACCGTCGAGGCGTTGCCTTTGTTAGCATATATATACGTGGATATGGATGGATATAAATATCAAAGGTGGATATGCCACTAGTATCCACTTACAGTTACAAAGTTTGTTTCTTTAATACTAATTTTCTGGATTCTGTTGCTATAGGTGGAGACCATTGGAGATGCCTACATGTGTGTCAGTGGCTGTCCAAAGAGAAATGGTGCCCGGCATGCCGGGGAGATCGCTAACATGGCACTTGACCTCATCTCGGCTGTAACCCACTTCAGTATCCGCCATAAACCAGACGAGCGCCTGAACTTGAGAGTTGGCCTCCATACCGGGCCATGTGCCGCCGGTGTCGTGGGGAGGACTATGCCGAGGTACTGCCTGTTTGGTGACACCGTTAATATGGCCAGCAGGATGGAGTCGACAGGTAAAGGTAATCACCCTTTCTTGGAGACACAGATGATCAGTAGCAGACACTATAAAAGTGTCGTTTGTAGTCTGTCTCAATGTGGTCTGTCTTAATGTGGTCTGTCTTAATGTGGTCTGTCTCAGTGGGTTCTATCTTAATGTTTTTTGTCTTAATGTAGTCTGTCTCAATGTGTTCTATCTCACTGTAGTCTTTCTTACTGTCTTCTAGCTTATAAGAGCAGTGGTTCCCAACCTGTGTTCCGCGACCTCTCCAGGAAAAAAAATAACACCATAATCTTGAAAATCATAAAAAATGATCATAGAAAGGGCTCCACGAGTCAAAAAGGTACACTGGTATACCTAAAGGTTTAAGCATGAAATCGTTGCACTCTGTTGACTGCCATAAAACTTAAGTGATCTTCACTGGCTGACATCAAAGGTATGTTGTCTTACCTGGCAAGTATCCAAGGTGCACAACACCACCTCGGGAGTATCAAAGATATAATGCTACCTCCCGTGGTGATACACCTTCAATTCGGCTCAGAACAAAACGGCCCCGATATTAGGGTTCCATTAAACCGGCCCCGGACAATTAGACCTCCGACCAAACCCACCCCCCGCCCCAGACATTTGGGCTCCCGACAAAAGAGTCCCTACAAAAAGGCCCCTATCAATAAGACCTACGACAGCATGGCTCCGGGCGGGAGGGCCCGTGACAATAGCAGCTCCCATAGAGAAACCCTTCCCCACCCAACCTTTTACAAAGTCAATAATAAAACTGCATTACCCAGGGGCCCAAAACCCGGGGGGGGGGGGCTTTTGGAAATGTGTTCTTCATATTTCATGTTTACCTTCTCAGCTTTAAACATCCATATGAGTGGTCAGATGAAGGATGCTCTAGATGACCTGGACTGGGGATTTCTCATGGTCGAGAGAGGATTTATTGAGGTCAAGGTGAGAGTAACTGTTGATGTCAATGTCATATTGTACAGCAGTCGTACACAACTTTTTAAAAAATTGGCGTTTTCAACAGTGTTTTTTTTTCATTGTGTTTCTTTTTTAAAAAAAATTGTATTGCAATAGTAATTTAGTATGTAACAGATATCAACCACCACATGTAACAGATATCAACCACCACATGTAACAGATATCAAGCACCACATGTAACAGATATCAACCACCACATGTAACAGATATCAAGCACCACATGTAACAGATATCAACCACCACATGCAACAGATATCAACCACCACATGCAACAGATATCAAGCACCACATGTAACAGATATCAACCACCACATGTAACAGATATCAACCACCACATGTAACAGATATCAACCACCACATGTAACAGATATCAACCACCACATGTAACAGATATCAACCACCACATGTAACAGATATCAAACACCACATGTAACAGATATCAAACGACAAATGTAACCTCTGATATGAATGTTTCCTCCAGGGTAAAGGCCTCCAAAAGACCTTCTGGTTGGCTGGTAAGAGAAACTACAAGAAACCACTGCCCGAAACGCTTGTCTTGTGAGTCCCTTCAGACAAAGCTTTTCATCATTTATCTTTATAATACTGGATGGGACAGTAATCATTAGAGTTAATCTTTAGAGTACAAGATTTGACAGTATTCATTAGTGTTAATCTTTAAACTGCAGAGGGGGACAGTATTCATTGCCCCTAGACAGTGGCGTGGCTAGGGTTATTGTCATCCGTTGTGGTAAACTCATGGTGTCACCCAAGGACCTGCTGGCACATGGAAAACCCTGACGAACGGTGTAGTAAGAAAGGCCCGGAGCCCCCCCCCCCACACACACACACCGGAGATTGTAATAACTGCCCAAAAAGGTCTATGAAGAATGCTCGTCGCGTCGTCGTGGGCCAGCACGTCCCTGGTGTCACCCTCCTCGCCCCACCTTCCCCATACTCATGGTGTCACCCAAGGACCTGCCGGCACATGGAAAACCCCGACGAACGGTGTAGTAAGAAAGGCCCGGAGCCCCCCCCCCCCCCACACACACACACCGGAGATTGTAATAACTGCCCAAAAAGGTCTATGAAGAATGCTCGTCGCGTCGTCGTGGGCCAGCACGTCCCTGGTGTCACCCTCCTCGCCCCAACTTCCACAATAAATTTCTTCTTGTTAATACAAGTGCACAGTATTAAACAAAAACAAATTGATTGAAGTTCAAGAGGAAAGTGTATTTAAGAACTGTAACAACGTTAGTTATAGTTATTTTTACATTAAATTTACTTTATTTAAAATTTTCATTTCCTGGTCTTCAAAGCTGCAAACTGTCAATCATGCTCAAATGGTAATCGGGTTGCCAGTGACGAATCAGCGAAAATATTAACTTTGGAGTATTTCTGGGTTTCGATATATTTGTTATCCAAAACTTTTTTAATTTAAATAAATTTAAAATTTAAATTAGTTTCTTAAAGATATTACAAATTTATTAACCCTATCATTGAGTAAAAAGTAATTTTTATTTTTTTACTGATTCGATTCATGCACTTAGAATCGCCCGAACACATCTTATTTTGTGTGAATGGAAAGGGTTTTTTTCTCAGGATTTAGATTAATATGGCTTAATATCACAAAAGTTACCGACCACTTCAATGGGCGTTGAATTATGGTCGAAACTGTGTTTTTCTGAACTTATTATTGTATCACCTCATTCATCAAGCATCAACCTTGAACTTTTAATAAAGCACGCATTGGGGGTGAGAGGGGGTGGTTGCACGTGTGGAACATTGACGTGTTATCGATCATCCTTAATGAAATTCTCTTAGACCATTAGTCGGCATATCGTGGCTCGCGAGCCGCAAGAAATGTGGCTCTCAAAAAAAAAATTAATCGTCATTCTACTGGTTTTGGCTCTTTTGACTAATGAGTTTGCTGACCACTGGGTTAGACCGAAAATGAGTTTGCTGACCACTGGGTTAGACCGAAAATGAGTTTGCTGACCACTGGGTTAGACCGAAAATGAGTTTCCTGACCACTGGGTTAGACCGAAAATGAGTTTGCTGACCATTGGGTTAGACCGAAAATGAGTTTGCTGACCACTGGGTTAGACCGAGAATGAGTTTGCTGACCACTGGGTTAGACCGAGAATGAGTTTGCTGACCACTGGGTTAGACCGAAATGAGTTTGCTGACCACTGCATGAGTTAGACCGAGAATGAGTTTGCTGACCACTGGTTTAGACCGAGAATGAGTTTGCTGACCACTGGGTTAGACCGAGAATGAGTTTGCTGACCACTGGGTTAGACCGAAAATGAGTTTGCTGACCACTGGGTTAGACCGAGAATGAGTTTGCTGACCACTGGGTTAGACCGAGAATGAGTTTGCTGACCACTGGGTTAGACCAAGCAGTGTGGGCTCTGTAAATGGGAAGTTTGAAATTGGATGTCCCCCCCTCCCCTGAGATGGTGTCACCCGGTTCGGTCAGCTCCTCCCGCAACCCCTAGCTACGCCAATACCTCTAGAATATAAACATCACAGTAGGAAGGCCGAAAGTAGTCAAAAGACATTGAGCTCAATCAAAATAGTTCCGTTTAAGTCAAAATGAACACTGACAACTTTCCTGTCAATGTTTTATGAGAAACTTCGTGGAAATCGAATCATTAAAATAAATATTTCAGCTTTCTTAAATGTGACAATAAACTTTTCTTTCAGACTTCAAAAAAGCCTTGAAGACGGGGGCCCAGCAGCGAGTCCATCCTACTGCACACTTTCTGTTGGTGACAGCATGTTCAGCGCCCTCCGGAAGACCTCGATCACTGTGAGCAACATCACAGTAGAGAACAGTCCATACACTTCAGACTCGGAAGACAACGGCAGTACAGAGAGATTCCGTCCAAACTTGCGTAGTGCCAGTGCCGTTCTCAATACTCCCAGCGATACGTCATCAAAGCGTAGGCATGGTACTGTGGCACCGGTAGACATGATCACTGACCAAGAGGTCAAATCTTGGCCGACAGTCACAGCACAAGTCAAAGATGATTATGACAGCACTGGCGATGACAGAGAAGACGGTGGACATGACATCAGATTGAACACCAGCAACATGCATACAACCTTTCTCACTCTCTCTGATGATGATGGTAACACCGAGGAGAGTCACGAAGGTCACTCTAGCACTTCAAATCAGGCCATTATCACTGACCAGTCGGTTGCTCAGTATGATGCTCAAGAATTCAGTAGTAATCAATCAATTGTATTAGGAGGTCATGAACTCCCAGTTGATAGACCATCCAGGAGGGTTAGGAGAAAACATGACATCAGGCTGAGTACATCGGATTCCAAAAAGATCCCCAGAATAGAAATCACTTAATAACAGTGAGCAGTCATAGCATTGAATCGTCATAACATAGAACAGTCATAACATAGAACCGTCATAACACTGAGCAGACATAACAAACATAGAACAGTCGTAACAGTGAACCGTCAAACCATAGAACAGTCGTAACGTAGAACAGAAGATAGAACAGTCCTAACATAGAACAGTCGTAACATAGAGCAGTCATAAAATAGAACAGTCGTACAATAGAACAGTCGTAAAATAGAACAGTCGTAAAATAGAACAGTCATAGCATAGAATAGTCATAACATAGCGCAGTCATAAAATAGAACAGTCGTAAAATATAACAGTCGAAAAATATAACAGTCGTAACATAGAACAGTCGGAAAATGCAACATTCATAACATGGAACAACCATAACATAGAAAAGTCACAACATAGAACAGTCATAACATAGCGCAGTCATAAAATAGAACAGTCATACAATATAACAGTCGTAAAATAGAACAGTCATAGCATAGAATAGTCATAACATAGCGCAGTCATAAAATAGAACAGTCGTAAAATATAACAGTCGTAAAATATAACAGTCATAGCATAGAACAGTCATAGCATAGAACAGTCATAGCATAGAACAGTCATAGCATAGAACAGTCATAGCATAGAACAATCATAACATAGAACAACCATAACATAGAAAAGTCACAACATAGAGCAGTCGTAACAATGAGCAGTTGTAACATAGACTAGTCGTAACATAGACCAGTCACAACATAGAACAGTCACAACATAGAACAGTCACAACATAGAACAGTCGTAACATAGAATAGTCATACCATAGAACAATCATACCATAGAACAGTCGTAACATAGAACAGTCGTAACATAGAACAGTCGTAACATGGAGCAGTCGTAACATAGAGCAGTCGAAAAATAGAACAGTCTCATGACATGTCTAATTGTTACCTCAGTTATCTACAAGCTAGGGACATGTCTATAAATATTACCTAGGAAACCAATATACATTGTTTTGTACAAACCCTAGGGCTACATGTTTGGTACAAACCCTAGGGCTACATGTTTGGTACAAACCCTAGGGCTACATGTTTGGTACAAACCCTAGGGCTACATGTTTGGTACAAACCCTAGGGCTACATGTTTGGTACAAACCCTAGGGCTACATGTTTGGTACAAACCCTAGGGCTACATGTTTGGTACAAACCCTAGGGCTACATGTTTGGTACAAACCCTAGGGCTACATGTTTGGTACATAAAACATGTCAGTAAAATAGGCTTGTTCTTTAAAGTCAAAACACAAGACTTTTTCTCCCAGTCAATACAATTAGGCTTGTTCTCCCAAGTCAATACAATAGACTTGTTCTCCCAGTAAATACAATTAGACTTGTTTTCCCAAGTCAATACAATTAGACTTGTTTTCCCAAGTCAATACAATTAGACTTGTTCTCCCAAGTCAATACAATAGGCTTGTTCTCCCAAGTCAATACAATAGACTTGTTCTCCCAAGTCAATACAATAGACTTGTTCTCCCAAGTCAATAAATTAGACTTGTTCTCCCAAGTCAATACATTAGACTTGTTCTCCCAAGTCAATACATTAGACTTGTTCTCCCAAGTCAATCCAATAGACTTGTTCTCCCAAGTCAATACAATAGACTTGTTCTCACAAGTCAATACAATAGACTTGTTCTCCCAAGTCAATCCAATAGACGTGTTCTCCCAAGTCAATACAATAGACTTGTTCTCCCAAGTCAATACAATAGACTTGTTCTCCCAAGTCAATACATTAGACTTGTTCTCCCAAGTCAATACATTAGACTCGTTCTCCCAAGTCAATACAATAGACTTGTTCTCCCAAGTCAATCCAATAGACTTGTTCTCCCAAGTCAATAAATTAGACTTGTTCTCCCAAGTCAATACATTAGACTTGTTCTCCCAAGTCAATCCAATAGACTTGTTCTCCTAAGTCAATACAATAGACTTGTTCTCCCAAGTCAATACATTAGACTTGTTCTCCCAAGTCAATACAATAGACTTGTTCTCCAACATCATATTTATATTAATGATAAGCTAGGATATCTTATCTACATGCCATTTCCTCTTTATTTTTCTTTATTCCCCGTCAGGTCCATGATATTTCACCAGTAGTTTCAAGATTGTATCATGATTATTACCGGTATTATAAAGAGCAAAGAGTCACTAAATTTAAACGTCTAAATAAGTCTGAGCATATAAAGCATTCATTTAAACTCAGCCAGATCTGGGAATTAAATAACTTTTTTTTAAAGATTAAACTAGCATTTCAATTGGTTGATAAAAATCATTAAAAATATTTAAGGTGAAATCCCTCGAGGAGTTTTTACTAACTTGTGTCTGCCCCCCCAACCCCTTTTCTCCCTTCCCCTCTCTTTGAGGACATCCTATAGCATTCGTGGAAAACCCCATTGTTGCTAAATGCACTAAAAGTAATTTATTGTAGTAAAATAGTAGGTAACATTTAAGGTGGACCAATTTTTTATTTACATTTATTTGTACGATTAAGATTAGCCATTACTATAGGTATGCTATGGCATACTCAGATGTATTTGTACGATTAAGATTAGCCATTACTATAGGTATGCTATGGCATACTCAGATGTATTTGTACGATTAAGATTAGCCATTACTATAGGTATGCTATGGCATACTCAGATACTTCAAGGCTTCAGCATTCTATTTATATACCGGTGTGTTGCTCTTTGAAAAGAAGACTGACTTGATCAGAAATCTTCTGGACCTGAAATTGTTCCAGTTTTGATCATCCTTCTTTTATTAAATCCTATTCTAACAAGTTGACTCTCATCGTTTGACTTTACTCTGAATGTGTGTACTTAACATTTCCTGGATCAATGTAAACAATAATAAAATTAACACAACTGAAAGAATAATGCGACAATATTCTGTCATTTATTCATCTAGTTTGTTTTTTATTTGACGGAATCAATATTGTAAAAAAAAATGTAAATTTGTACAGTTCCACTTTTTTAATGCAAAATTTTTTTTTTATAAAATCCTTTATCATTTTGATAATAATACAATGTGTCAAACCAGGGGAAACAAGAATACGGTGAAGAATAAATATTGAAAAGACATTTGTTGCCATAGAGATTAAATATATGTAGGTGGTTGAGGTCTTCTTGGAAGAGCTTCTCCATTGCTGCTGTCTTTTTGCCCGTGCACCAGAACACTACATCGTCCACGAATACTGCCTTTTCCCGACCTTATTTTGCTTTGTAAATGATTTATGTAGATTAGGAAATGTGTGCAACTTAATGCAGAGCCTTGTGGCAATCCTTCTATTTCCTCGTATTTTGATAGAGCTATTCCATATTTGGTCCATACCAGACCATTTTGAGGAAATGCTTGATCCAAAAGTACATTCTTCCATTGACTGCTATCTGCTGCAGTTTTAGTGGCATACCTTGTTTCCAGACATTATCATGGGCTCATTTTTAAGTCTAAAAACACTGCAGTGGTGCTTTCCTTTCTCTGTACGCCTTCTATTACGGACTGTGTCAACCATATGGCCTGGTCCATAGGTTCTCTTCCTCTTCGAACTCCGCCTTGATTTTTGTCTAGGAGGTTGTTTATTTTCAGGTGCCAGTAGAACCGTTCGTTCATCTTTCGTTCCACTGTCTTCCCTACGCAGGGTGTGATGGAGATGGAACGATCTCTGTGGGGTACCGGATGAGGGCACCGTAACCACTGCGTTTCTCCCCCGCGAAGCATGAGCCGCCTGTAAAGACTTTAACCTGGTCGTCCGAATAAGCGTAAATCGTCTTCAGCACCGTCTCTGAGAGTTCTGGTTGAGGGCTGGCTCTATTGGCTTTAGTGGTCGTCATGGCAAGACGAATTACTGGTCGGGTTAGGCTTTTGAGAGGGCCCCGTGCCGGAGTCACCTTCACATTTTCCCTGTTCTCGAGTAAAACCCCATCTTCCTCAAGACTGTTGACCTTGGCCATGAAGGACGGTCTCTTTAATCTGGTTTTCTTGACCCATTCGTTCTGCAGTTGGAAACAGGGTTCCTGCCTGTCCAGTCGTCGGCAACGTTCAACCGTCGTTAGGACTGCCTTTTCCCGCCTGATATCGAGCGGTTCGACGTCTGCCAGGACTTGCACCGCTGCCCGTGGGCGTTGTGCTCATTGCTCCGCATACAAACCTGAGAGCTCGGCTTTGAATGCTGTCCAGGCGCCCTCTAGAGCGTGCGACTCGCAAAGGTCAGGCCCTCTAGAGCGTGCGACTCGCAAAGGTCTGGACGGGTAGGTTGTAATCCAATGCCCCTCTCACGCTACCAAGGTAAAGGGACCTTAGCAGTCTTGCGTCAACGCCCCAGTCAATGCGAGCAAGCTTCTTCACTAGGCCTAATTTTTTAGAAGTCTTCGCGCCTAGTTCACGTATATGGTTATGGAGTTTCTGGTCCAACTTCACGCCCAAATACACTGGTGTCCGATCCCATTGCAACTCTTTCCCGTTGATGGTGAGTTCCGTCTCGACCTTAAGTGCGTTCCTTCCATTCGTGACCTTGGAGTAGACCGTCTTGTCCATCTTGACGACCATTTCCCACCTGCTGGCGTAGGCTTCTTTTCTGTTTAAGTCGTTTTGCAGCCGGGCCTGCAATGTTTTGACATCCTTTCCCGAGCTCTAAATGACTGGGTCATCCGCCAAAACCGCGTTCTCGGATAGTATTTCCTCTTGCAAGTCGTACACGTCTGCTAGAAACAGGGTAAGTCTGCCACCGTGTCATTTTTCTTTTGGAGCTCGTTGTCATCGAACTGATGTCCAGGATTGAGCAGATTACAACAGCACTAAAGAGGCTCAAGAAAATATGGAAGGACAAAAATAAAGCCCCCAGCACCAAAATCAGTCTGATGCGCTCATTAGTCCTATCCATTTTCCTGTATGCCTGCGAATCCTGGACATTAACAGCCGATCTTGAAAGGAAAATAAAGGCGATGGGGATGAGATGCTTCAGAAACATTTTTTGGCATCTGCTATAGGGACCATATCTCCAATGAAACAGTGAAAGAAATGGTTCGTCAGGCAATTAGGGAGTTCGATGACCTACTGGTGACTGTGAAAAAACGCAAACTACAATGGTACGGCCACGTAACAAGGAAACAAGGGCTTGCCAAAGAAATATTGCAGGGCACCACGAGAGAAGGGAGAAGAAGAAGAAGACAAAGAAAAAAATGGGAGAATAATATCAAAGAGTGGACAGGACTAACACTGGGCGATGTTGTGCGTAGTGCAGAAGACAGAGACGAATGGAGGAGGATAGTTCACATGTCATCTGTGGCGCCCCAACAGCACAAGGACTAAGGGACATGATCATGATGATAATGATGATGCAATCGATTGGACAAGACGGATCGCCTGGTCCATGGGTTGGCGGCCCTTTCAGAACCCACCTTACGTCGGTGGTAAGCACTTATTCTTCTTTAAAAACCAGTAGAGTCGTCCATTTACCATTCATTCTGCTATCTTCCACACACAAGATCAGGTTTTCTTTCAGGCATACATCGGGGGGGGGGGGGGGGGGGGGGGGCACCCCCCCCCCCAAGCACGTCAAGTGCCCCCCCCCCCCGGGGAATGTGTAAAAAAGAAATTATTTTTAAAAAACTACTTTGAATTTAATTTTTATAACATTTTAAAAGTATTTGAAATTTTTGTCTTTCATCGATTACAATTAATGCAACCAACAAAATATCGCTTTCTTCGATATTTATTTGTGATCCATATCGGTCAGGTTAATCTTGTTACAGTCTCACAGAATTCGATTATAAATATCGTATTGTTTTAAAAATTTGCCGCTCCTGATCATAAGCCAAAATCTGACTTTTCTTATTGGCACATTACCGATCATTTTGTAACACGATTTCGGGAACAACAGAGTCAAATGATTTTTTTTTTTTTTTTACTTAGCCTTTAAGTAGTAAATCCCCAACGACTTTTCTGTTAAATTTGAGAATTAGAACAATCTTCCCCAGCCTTTGGAACTAACTTTTTTTAAATTCCTTTTTAGTTGTAACTAACTTTTT